TCGCAGACGGAAGAAGAGGCGATTGCTCTGTTCCAGGCGAAGCGCGCAAAGAGGATTCTGGCAGACATGCCCCGTGTCGGTAATCTACTGACGCTCGATCTCAAAGGCAACGACATCAGAGTAAGTCATGTCGCAGATTGCGTGAGGTGGAGAGTGTCGGCTTATGACATTGATGATGTGCGTGTCCAAACAGGGCGGCGTCACATACCTTGCGCAGGCCCTCAAAAAGAATCGCACGCTGCGAGTCCTTAATCTGGGAGACAACAACATCGACATGAGCGGACTCATCGCTGTGGCCGATGCGCTCAAGTACAATTCAACGCTTGAGACGCTCGACATGAGCCACAACCCCTGCGCCGGCCCAGGGTCCGAAGGTGTGAGTAGGCGATCCTGAGAGCGCGTTAGGATGGCGGATCTGACGTGCGTGTGTGCACATGTCCATAGATCACTCAGCTCCGAGTAGCCTTCGCACTAAATTCCAACGTCAAGAGGTTGTTCCTCAACGATACGGACCTCTCATCAGAGGGCGCAATCGCATTGGCGGAGTATTTGCCAGAGTCACGGAGCTTGATCCACTTGGATCTGACGGACAACCTTGAGATAGACATTGCGGGTGTCATGGCGCTTGCTGTCGCGAGCAAACAGAATAAGACTTTGCGCTGCCTGGACGTGACAATACCGCCCAACGAGCCCGATTTTGCTAGACTCTCGCGCGACATCATGCAGAGCTGCGTTCGCAACACCGAAGCAGCTCAGCGCAAGGCGCTCAAACGAGGCATCAAGCGACCTATACCCACGCCAATTCACCGCTCTGTCGTTGCGCTTTCGCTCGAGCGTCAACGAGCAATGGAAGCCGCCAAAGCAGCCGAGGTGCAGGCTGCTCAAGCTCAGGCCACCATGAATGCTGGATCAGCTTTGATCAGTGCTGCCACAGAGTGCCGCAACGTGCTGCGGGACTTGTTAAGGGGTGAAGAGGAGCGTAAGAAGGAGACGCTCGAAAAGACCGCAGAGCCAGCAAGTGCAGACTTTGTTCGCGATCTACTCCGGCAAGCCTCGTCTCTCAGAAAAAGGGTTGCTCGCGCTGTCAGCGAGCTCGGCGAAGGTAGCATGCTTGGTGAGTCGACATCATCGAAGTTGTAATTTCATGACTGACCCCATGCACCTGTCCCGTGCAGATCAATTGCTGACCTTGAATGACGAGCTAGAGCAAGTATCAAGGCAGCTTGCTGATCTGTACCAGTCGGGGCCAGAAAGTGCAGGGCCACGCATTAACATCAAGTCGGATGCTGGATCGACTAATTCGGAATC